GCTATGTGAGAGGTAAGTGGCCGTAGAGACGACAAGCTCGATTTCGTAAAGAAATAAAAAAATAAAGAAAAAAAGATGGAAGAGGATGTAATAAAGATGCGATATCGGTAATAGCAACAACAATATTGCAGGAAAATTTTTCTTTGTATTTTGTTACTAATCGAGGACGAGGATTGCGTCTCGCGGCTGGTCATTTATCGATTTTACGATATGTGTAAGGCTCGTTGTATGCGACGATTTTATAAAGACGGAATGCGGGGAAGAAAGCGGAAGGTAATCGCGCGCAATGAGGGACGCAAATAGATCGCATGCATCCTACGGCGCGGCGAACGACGAAACGCAAGGAGCACGTGCGTTGCATATGTAGTGCGCGTCGAAGATCGCGACACACTCATGCATCGCACGTGCTTGCCTCGCTCTCGATCTCGGTAGCGGTATTCCGTATTGCGAATCTGTTCATATCTTAGTTGTACATACCTTCTTACTTGCTGTATCGAAAAAAAAGGAGGCATTATACATGTGTGTATTCGAAGGCGGTAGCAAGGTGCTGCAACTAAAATAATAAACAGAATCAACGATACCTGTTTTATTATTCAAGAAACACGAAATATAATGATAGATTTTTTTATGTACGTTCTTATGTCTATGCCTTTTATTTTCTACGAAATGCTGAACCAACGTATCCAACTTTTAATATTAATTGGCGAGTTTTAAATTACAATTCTGCTAAAGCTTTATTCATATTTTTATTCATTTTAAAACTTCATATTTTTTCTGTTTGAAACTTTGCCAGATATCCCTAATTTTTAGTCATTCGACAACTGTATTATACTTTTAGATAAAAATAAACTCGAGATCGTTTAAAGAATTTGTCGAAAAAGACCCTTAGTTCTTGGGACAAGAACTTTTATTGAACCGTGTCGTCTCACAATAATTACATTGTAATACTTTTTGTTGATTTAAGATGTACGGTACGGAATTCCTCTACTTGAGGGATTATAACAATAACGATTGTCGTCAAACAAAACATGAGAGCGCGAAAGAATGCGTCTAATCTAGCTCCGTAGAATAAAGAGAATGAAATGCGGTGGACGGCGGTGGAAGCCTAAACTTGCAGGATTGTAACTGTGGACACACACAGGTTGTAATGAACCATTTGTATGTACGACACTATTGACTTAAATATATAGTTTATAAGCTATGTTCGATTTATGAGACGTTTAATTTTAGAAGCTGATTTTATTTTATGTGCGAGCAGAAACACGAATCGTGCGATCATGGTAATTATGGTAGATATTGTGAATGATTATTACACGAAGACTTGATAATTTTTATTCTTCGACCATATAGCCTAATTTTGCTTTATTAAAAGTTAAGTTGAACAATATTTTTTTAAATGTTAGATCGAAATAAAATAATGTTTTGTTTTAGCATTAGATTAGATGAAATGAAGCTTTGTTTAAACAAAATTCATGTATGATTTATAAAAGATTAAGATTTGATCGTTTAAACATTTATTCATGAATATATTATATAACTTGAAGATAAATTCGTAAACATTCTTTTCAGATGATTACTACAAGTACCAACTCCGTTGTTTTTGCCTATTGTAAATTTCTTTCAATTTCTTTCAAAACTAAAAATGGATACATTATTCATTACATAAATATGTAAACATTATATATCATATATATTTGATGAATCATCATAGAGATATTTTACTTTCTTTATTTGCTGTGTCAGGAAATTCTATCCTATTATATTATTTTTTGTTCTTAAGTAAGTATTTCATCAGAAAGATTTCGAAACATCTATATGAAGCATCGTAAGACTGTTTTAAACAAAAAGTCGTGTTATAATGAATCTTGTAGGGATATTTTGTGTAGGATCTGGCTTTTTCTTACCTCTACTGCTCTTAGGAAATTCCATTCGATTCCATTTATAATTCAGAGACAAAGACATCTTCTACAAACTTACTTAAAACAACATAAGATGTATAATTTCAGTTTGATATAGATTTTTATTTTTTCTTCAAATTATCATACACATCTGTGATATCAGAGTAGAATTTTGACCATTTATCATGATTACTGATATCGAGTCGATATTAATAATTAATCCATCAATATTCTTGAAATTCGAAAATAATTTACAAAATTATCTAGCACTGAAATATAATAATTGAATTAAAAAATTCAAATTAATCATTAAATTTTAATTAAAACTTAGTAGAGAAACGTGGTCGTTGATGCAGCATATATGATAATTCATATTACGCTAATAATTAAGCATGGAACGTTCAATGTAAATATAAATTAGAAATAGCATTTAATAAGTTACATAGAGCAATTAAAAATTCGCGATTTTTATTATTTTGAATGACTGATGTATCTAAATTTTTTCAACCTAAAGCCTTTTTAATTGCATCTCTACATTCCCAGAATTGCTAAAATGTTTTGTACTACCTGAAGTCAAATTACTTTTTTTTCTTTGTAAAGGTCTTTTATATGGATTTCCACATACCTAGAATGGGTCAACTGTTTCTTTAGAAAAAAAGTGAAAAGTGAAAATGTGTATGTATGTATATGTATATGTACTTTTATCTAAAACATACAAAAAACTTTTTACGTTTCCGCTCTAAGAAAAGTTTTATGATCGACTCTCAGGTAGCAATTCTAGCCAATTCTAACAATATTGCAGCAGCGTTGGAATGTTCTATACTATCTGGATTTCTATTATGATTGTTTAAATTCGTCAAAAGTAAACATATTTTTTTATTAATTAAAAATTTAATTATCGCATTTAATATGACAACAATAAATACATCCAATAGAAGCACGTATTTTCCAAAAATTCCAGCAAAACGACGAGTTCACAAGAAATGATTCATAATCTGTTTCACATGAAAAACCATGGTGGAAAATAATAGAAAAATCTATATATTATAGACTTTTATATATTTTCATATGCGATATTTTTTCGCCCAAACCTAGTAAATGAGAATGGATTGAAATATAGATTGAAATGTATTCAGAAATAAGCATTCCCAAAGCATTAAAATAAATCCTTTTCTTCAATTCAAATGTAATTTTTATTTATTTATAGAAATTGTATGAATCATATTTCTATACTCTTCAATCTAAAAATAATATTAGCTTTTTCTGTGAATGGTAAATATTGCTCAATTTAAAATTCTGAGTAGAAAATGCTTGAGAAAGTTTCCCAATCCAGTTGAATCCAATAGAATCTAATTAAATAAAAAGAAATTTCTTTATTCAATTAGATTCATAATGGAAAAATACGCATTAAAATTTTAATCTATCTTAATATCTATTTTTTATTACTAGAAAGTTCGAATTACGAACCATTACCTGTAGATTCAACGTTCGATTGAAAGTTTTGGAAAACACGTGCTTCTATTAAATGCATTTATCCCTTTCATTAAAATGCTATAATTAAATCCTTAAACAATAAAAAATTATGTTCATTTTTTGTTGAATCTAAACAATTGTGACATAAAAATCCAGATAGTATGAAACATTTCAGTACTGTAATATTAAATATAGGGTCTTATTTTCGAGAAATATACATTTTTCAAGAATAAGATCCCATATTTAAAAGCGTTTCAAATCTATAATTATGAGTGGTCTTAAAATTTCAGTCAGCCAATAAAATGATCATAAAGCGCCTCTAAATTGTACTTCTATTAAATATCAGTTTTCACTCCTTGTGTGTGTGTGAAGATCCTCCGCCATGCATTCCGTGTGAAAAAATTAGTAGATCTGTTCTTTTTAACTGAACTTCTTGCACCCCATACATCTTTCCTCTTTTTCTCTCTCTATTGAAGAGAAGAGAAGAAAAGACGGTACCTTTATTTTCTCTCTCTTCAATATCCGAATATATATGTATATTTATCTTTATTTTAAGTGCAAACATTTTTGGGGATTACAAATAACAGCGAATAAATCTATGGACAGATTAAAGATATAGAAATCCTGGGGATCGAATAAGATTGATTGGTTATCGTAAGCGCATTGGTGGGGAGAGGGGAAACGTCGTACGACGGATTGTGGTTGGTCGGTGCGGTAGCCTCGGGGTGCTTTGGAGGTTATAGCGAGCGTCCGGCGAGGATCGGGTTTTTGTTCGTGGGTTACCGCGCGGGTGGCTCAGATCGGTGGCGGCAGACGCGTTTCGTCGTTGCGAGCGGAAGGACGTGCATCGGGCTTGATACGGGTGGCAGCGCATCTACCGCAGCTACCGTCTACACGTGAATTCGGGCCGCTTACGCGTTTTACGTACGGTAAAGTGGACTCGATGTCGATAATATGTCGGCTACGAGCAACGTTAGGACGACACGGATGCACAGGATGGCCTGTCGGGCCGTTTGACGATTATTTATGAATTCACGAAAAGATCTGAGGAGAGGGTATTCACGGTACAATTACAACAACAACAACATCAATAACAACAATAACAACATGGTGAAGGAGAAGGCGAATTCGATTCGCATGTATGACTCGGAGGGCTACAGACGTAGGGCCGCCTGTATCTGCGTCAAGAGCGATCTCGAAGACGAGGTAAGCCAGCTGGCAGATGGCAGCCACCTGTATCTTTGCCGGCATGCGATCGTTGCAAGTGCCATGCTTGAACCCGGCTAATTTTACTTTTCTCTCCAAGAATCGATCTTTTATCCGATCGTTGATCAACCTGGACTTGTTTCGTCGAGGTCAATAAATAAGTTGAACTCTCTTCTTCTCGTATGAAGTCTCACATATATTGTAAATTCTTACAGGTATTACTAGTTACATCCAGTCGAAGACCCGACAGTTGGATAGTACCAGGCGGCGGCGTCGAACCCGAGGAGGAACCAGCGGTCACTGCTCTTCGCGAGGTTCGGGAGGAGGCTGGTGTTTTAGGACAGTTAGGCCGTTGTCTTGGCACATTTGAGGTTATAACCCGTGATGTATGCCACACAGATATTATGTTATAATCCTTCATATATTATTATGTTTCTTTTATTTTTATTTTTATTAATGTACTGTGCTCCATACATAACTAAATCATTAGCTGCGTTTAAAAAACAAGAACAACTTTGTAACTGTTGTAAGATTCTTTAATATGATTGGTTTATTTCGATTCAGCAAATAATTAAGCCGAAAAGCCTGTTTTTTTTTAACTGAACTTCTTGCTTTGTTTATCTTTCTCCTTTTCTCTTCACGTTGAAGAAAAAAGGAAAAGTTGTCAACAGTATAAGAAGTTTAGGTAAAAAAGAACAGATGTAATAACAAATTATGTTAAAAAATGATTGTGCTCAGCAAAAAAGAGTTTTCCAATTATTGTAAATTATTTAAAATTCTTTAATGGTTTTACTCTTAGTTCCTTACTGGATTTAAATATATAAACTAATCATATTAGAGAATCTTACAACGGTTGCAAAGTTGCTTTTTTTTTGTTGAACACAGCTGTAGTTTGTTTGCATTGCACTTTTTCTCTCTCTCTTCAACTCGAATATATATTTATTGTATTTTAAGTTAAAAATTTTTGATGATTTAAACCAATGCGAACAGAATCTTCAATCATTCGGTTTGTTGATTTCGAGACCGTTGATCCCAAGCAAGATAGTAATGGTGCTGATAAGACAGATTCTCCCATTTCACATGGCTTTCTTTTTACAGAACACAGAGCACAAACACCGAACGGAAGTATGGGTTATGCGGGTGACCGAGGAGCTGCCGGAGTGGGAAGATTCGCGCGCTATCGGCCGGAAACGAAAATGGTTCACCATACCAGAGGCCCTGCTGCAGCTTGGTCAACACAAGCCCGTCCAGCGCTCTTACCTACACAGCCTCCACAATACCAATCCACGACATAATCCCACCTCTCAGCTGTCCAATCATTCGCACTCCACGATGGCGTCTATCGAACTAATGAATAACTCTAGTAACAATACCCATTTGAGCGAACACAGCTAATATCGTCGTGGATTAAACCCGTTTTTTAATCCAAAATTCGATCGCCATGGATTCTCTCCGAGCAAAAACTCGCTGTTACTTCTCCCTTCTTCCCTTAAGGGAATTCACTATGCAACTCTACTGTTGTGTTTTATATATATAAATTGATATTATCTATGTGCTTATCTTTATCATTATATCCTTAGGTTAATTACTACGATTATTATCACGTTTAGTCTTAGATTGTTGATAAATCGGTTCGTGAAGGAGCATCTTTTCTTTTTTGTAATCATATTTTCATTTCTGATATGACCTTTTTTTATCGAACGCGCGAGAAGAGTGATTAAGTCAATTATTTTATTGTCATTATTATTTAGTGTTTTGTGCCTAATATACGTAGAATGCCATACACGTGATCCTTTTCCATGTATCGCATATCCTGGCTATACTGCTGCGCGAACTTTTTCTACATTTTGTCAAGGCGAAGCGGAAAAGTTGCGTTATACTTGTTAATATACAGACGATAAATTATGTACTTTGTATATTAACTTCTTGAATAAATTTTGTAATGATTTCTGCGAATAAGATGCGCGCAACACAGAGCTGCTGCTCTATACCCTCTGTCTGTAGTAAAAAAAAAACTCAAATTTTTGCAGATATAACATAGCTTTATTAATATTTCATTGTTAACAGCTTAAGTTTCTCGAATAACGTATGACTTTAGATATTTATAATTTTCTGTATTTATTTTTTTGCGATACTTTGTGATGACAAATTTGTATAGCTTAGGTTTTCTAGATTTCTGTGGAAGGAAAGGATCTAAGGAGAAAGTGAATAACTTTTGTAGCAGACTAATATGAGACATTAAATTTTTACAATTTAAATAATTATATATTTTTATTTAATTCTCTTACATACATCCTAGCGCACGATATTAGATTTTATATTTTTTTTTTTTACATTCTTTTAAAATTTAAATATACTTGTCTCATTTTTAACACTTTAGTTTTGTTTTTTAAACAGCATTTTTTTCGATTTTTTTTTAAAGTGACTAAAAATTAAGTACAAACAAATGGAAGTCAGATATACATCGGCTATGCGTTCGGGGAACTATCAGCACTATTTGTATCATACTAGCCTTGTAGCAAATATATAATGAGCATGCGCAGAAATGAAAGATCCCATGTGGCTGTGTAGTCATTTTGTAACGCGGATGAAGTCAATTTATTAAATTTTATATTTAAAAAGAAAAATATTTAAATAAAAAAATAACCGTAACGTTTTTTTGAAGTAAGTATAACTTAATTAGAAATATGTTTAGTTAATATAGTTTTTCGATCGTAATATTTTGATTAACAATCTTTAAGGTTAGGGTGCATGACACAGGCATCAGAATTTCAATAAAAATTTTTCTAAATGTGTTATAATAAATTAAACAATTCATCATTGCAGTTATCACTGCGTTTACATGCCTGTATATTTTGACATATCTGAGAAAATGAAAGAAGAACCAATGGAAGACGTCGGGAACGAAGACAAAAGCAGCGAGAGCAGCGACGAGTCTATGGAAGGCGATAATACAAACGAAAGTCAAACAGAAACCAAATCGCAAGTATATCTTCCAGGACAAGCTCTACAAGAAGGAGAGGAACTTACTGTGGATAAGTCGGCGTATAAATTGTTGCATCACGCACAATCTGGAGCACCATGCCTCAGCTTCGACGTGATACCAGATGATTTGGGTAATTCCAGAGAGAGTTATCCCTTAAACATGTACATAGTCGCTGGGACACAAGCTGCCAGGACGCACGTTAATAATCTCCTTGTCATGAAAATGTCCAATTTACGTGGTAATAAGCATTCTGATGATTCAGAAAGTGAATCAAGCGATTCAGAAGACGAAGATGATGAGAGTAAGCCAGTCATGAGTGTTGCTCCTATCAAACATCAAGGGTGCATTAATAGAGTGAGGTAAATATTCTATAGAAAAGTCACATCACATTGATAATTGAAGACTGTGGAATATATATTTGCATATATTTTTCTTTATAATGTTTACAGATGTACAAAAATTGGTGGAGGAATTCTAGCTGCCAGCTGGAGTGAACTGGGACGTGTAAATATCTGGAATTTACAAGAACAGTTGAATGCAGTTGAAAATCCCAGCTTGCTGACTGCATATCGTAACAAGTGTGATAAAGCAAGTGCAGATATTAAACCATTGTATACATTTAAAGGACATCTATCTGAAGGATTTGGCCTTGATTGGAACCGCTTAGAACCTGGTACTCTAGCATCTGGTGATTGCAAAGGTAACATTCACATATGGCGAATTGATAACAGTGGCGCATCCTGGCACATAGACCAAAGGCCATACAATTCACATGCTCCACACAGCGTGGAAGATTTGCAGTGGTCGCCAAGTGAAAAGAACGTTCTGGCATCGTGTTCCGTAGACAGAAGGTTTGTATTTTCTATAAAATATTTATGTGCTTTCTTATATTATTGACAAGGAGAGGACAGTTAATTCATTACAGATTTTTACTTCTTTTAACATGGTGAATCTATATAAAAAATAAGTTGTCTAAGCGTTTTATTGAATGGACCTTGTTCGTAATATTTGTTTACTATATAAAGAAACCCTATATTATTTAATTATAAAATGGAAAATTCATTAAACAAGTTTTCATATAATATATAGCTTATAATGAACAAAATATAGACTCAAAGCTCAATAAGGATAGTTTTTCAGCTATGGTAACTTAAGTAAAACTTGTGTTTATGCAGAAGCATCTTTGATACACCTCAGCTCAAAAATTATCCATTAGTCTATATGATGTCATAAACACTTATTTTGAAAGAAATTGAAATCCAGACAAGTCGACTGTATCTTTCTTGTGAATAAAATTGAGAATTAAATATTATTGCTTCACAAATTATTATGAAAATTATTTTATTCCAGCATAAAGATTTGGGACATGCGAGTAAGTCCACAGAATGCGTGCATGTTGACAGCATCTGGCACTCACACGGCTGATATCAACGTTATCTCCTGGAATCTAAAGGAAAGTCAGTTTATAGTATCAGGTGGAGACGACGGGATGCTCTGCGTATGGGATTTGCGACAATTTGGACCTAACGGTGCAAGTCCGGTTGCTACTTTTAAGCAGCACACTGCGCCAGTCACTACCGTAGAATGGCATCCTACTGAAACCACAGTGTTTGCTTCCGGCGGAGCTGACGATCAGATCGCTCAATGGGATTTGTCGGTAGAAGCAGATCACACAGAAGAACCTCAAGACAGTGTGTTAGCTAAATTACCGCCACAACTACTGTTCATACATCAGGGTCAGTCAGATATCAAAGAATTGCATTGGCACCCGCAATGTCCAGGAACTATAATATCGACCGCACATTCAGGATTCAATATATTCCGTACAATTAGTATATAATATATCACACTCTCTAGGATAATATATAAAAGAATATATTTTTAAAAGTCTGTGAAAAACAATATATTATGTAAAATATATCTACAAGATCTTTGTTTCTTAAATTAATTTTTATTCCTATTTATGTAATTTTTTAATTTTGATAATCAATATTTTAAAGATGGACTATAATGAATTATTTGCTTGTATTATTCTAAATACAATCCGTAATGTTTTCACGAAATACGTTCGTTAAAACATTACGGATTATTTGTTTATTAGTAATAAGGACAACAGGTGTCTTATAGTAGGCCTCCCATGTGGACAACTCCACGGGTTCTGCATTTGTGCCATTTGCGTTATTAGTCTCTGCATCTCGCTGAAGTTTAACGCTGTACCAATCATGACTGCGCTGCGACACGCTCTGGACGCTAACATTTGCTTGACACGACTCGGACGATATATATGCTTATCCATGTTTTCATTGCCTGCTTCTCTAATGAGGAATACTAATTCCTCAATGTCCTCTTGACCAAACTGCCAATAACCACTAACAGGCATTCCTATTAATTCTATTTTTTTGCTAGGTTCAGCTAAAAGTTGTAAAAAAAAGTTGCATGATGTAAAAAATTGTAAAGCTTAATATTCCATCGCTTTTTTACATTTTGCTAATATTTTTTTAAAAAACGACTTATAAAAAAATCAATAGAACTAATAGTGACAATAAAAATTATGAGAATTGAATACATGCCTTGCTCATTGATATTAAAAGTAAATCCATTATTTTCGAACATTTGCTGATGTTCTATAAGTATCGTTTCATTCAATGCGGAGAAATTTAGTGATTTTGGTACAATAAGCTTCTGGGTTTTCAGCTTCGTTTCATTACTGAGTTTCTCGAATCGAAATTTTTCATCAGTGGCATGTTGGTCGATAATAAATAAATCATCCTCCAAGCGAGCTATTATGAAACCAAGATTAAACTGACCTATTATCTCCATCTATAAAAGATTTCTAAGTTCAAAACATAAATGTATAAAATTTCAATATTAATACTTTACACAATAAATTATATTTAATAATTGTATTTAATAATGAAATATATTACATATCGCGCTCATATTTGCTACAATAACGACACAACTCAAAGAGCAAAGTTTTTTTTAGAAAATAAATTTGAATCATTACAATTTTGTAATATTAATTTTTTGATGTAATAATTGATTGTAGGGGAATAAAAGTATATATACATATATTTTAAAAATATATACTTTCTTTTTTTCATTTTTTTTAAGTACAATTCTAAAATGATAATTTTTGAGTTATATTATTAAAACAAATAAGCGATATATATAATAAAAAATTATCTAATAAAAATTATATAAATTACTAACCTTGCCAAATGAATCTTTTGTCAATTCTTTTTGCAATTCTTTTTCAGCTTCGCCTTGATTAGCTTCCATTTGTACTCTATATTTTATTCTTTTAGATGTACTGGCAGGCATTCTAGCAATATTTACTTTTTCGTTTAATTTTTCTTTTATCGTTATTATACTTATCACCATTTCTGTATCTACAGGCTTTTTCATTGATTTGATATTACTTTGAATATCACTTTCTTTCACAATATGTGATACCGAAGGTGATACTTGTAATCTTTTAGCTGGCGGTTGCGTGTGACTAGACGAGATTGTCCTTTTCAAGCCAAAATTTAACTCTGTTAAAGCCTTAACTGTAAAATTCCCTTGCAGTTTGTCCCATTTTACTGTTAAACTGAATTTCAGTATCGCTAATATAAGGCGTTCTTGCGTAACAAATATTGTCCTCTTATCAGGAGTAACATTAACGTCGGCGCATTGCCGGTCTAATTTTAAATTAAAAAAGACAAACGGATACTGTTTATTGTTATATTTATGATACACACTATTGATCAGTTTACTGACCTTCGCGAGATCACACGGTCGACCGTTCACATAAAAAAATTGTCGATCGGGTGAGGAACGTCCGATTGCGTGGCTGCAAGTGCTCACGTAACACTCCCAATCGAAATCTACTGTAATGTCATTGGGCAAATTGTATTCTTGCAATATTGTTTCATCCGGAGGTTGTAATTCGAGTTTAACGATTCCGTCCAGAGACTTCTTGCCAAACACAGAATTGACATTGCTCAGTACATCGTCGGTGTTCCTAGTGGCCACGATAAGTTTGGGCAATTTGCCTGATATCAAATTGGAACATGTAATCTTAACACTGGTGGATACTAAGCAGTAACTGTACAAGACTTGAATAGCGCGTGCATATTCTTTCTTCAGATTCTTCTGAAATTCCTTCGCTCTCACAGGTAGATTTTTGAATATATTCTTCACGTGTATCGTGGTACCTTTTTCTCTGGCACATGGTTCCTTCTTTGTGAGCACACCGTTCCGGTCGAATTCTAATTTAAAACCATGTTCATTCGATGCATGTCTGGTGACGATGCTCAATTCGGACAAGGCACACAATGAGCTCAATGCTTCGCCACGGAAGCCAAATGTATTTACTTCAATCAAGTCTGTGAATTCTCGAAGCTTTGAGGTGTGATGTTTTAAGCCTGATGAAAGAAAAAAAAAGATTACTGTATTAAAAATTATCTTCAATCTACACACATAAGTTATATATGATTCATAATATTAAAATATTAAGAGGAAAAATAGCAAATATAAATAACATCACTATAATTGAATGTTAATAACACCTTAAATCAAATCACCCCAACTGTAACCTGAGAATAACTTGAAGAAGAATTTAAACATTATTAAATGATTTATATTTTTACTTATAATTAATACTATAATATATTACTACTATAATTCTGTAGAATTTAATTTATGCACCAATTGCAACGCTGTTACTTATATTTATAATTTTTTTTTTTATATCTTTAATTCCTTTAATAGAAGACTAATTTTTAATTAAATTCTAAACTAAACTAATTTCTGTTAAGATGAAGTAAATGTATTATTTCAACTATTGATAATTATAGGTCTACCTAAGCCTTCAAAGTCTTGTTCCAAAACGCCACTGCCATTGTCATTGACACTAATGCAAGTTTTACCATAATCAGTAAGTTTAACATCAATCACTGTAGCACTACTGTCCAAACTGTTTTCCACTAACTCTTTAATTGCAATCGCAAGATCAAGCACCACCTAATAAAATATTTGTATATAGTATATAGTATATAGTATTTCTTTTCTTATAAGAGACATTACTTTACAACAATGCTATCCAAGATTTATTAATGTTCATGACTGCTGCTTTTCTTTTTCTTAATAAAGGTAGATACAAGAAGAAAGATAATAAATATGAATATTAATATACATCAAATTAAACCCTAGAGTTACAAATCTTGGACAGTATTGCTTTACAACTACAATTGAATAATAAATATATAATTAAGGAAATTGCACAATAATAAAAATATAAATAAGTTGTATAAATAATAAATTGTATAATAATAATAAGAAGAAATTGTATCATATTGTATGTTTTTATGCTTACATTTACTTATGTTCCTTTTACATATTAATTTTCTTAACCTTACCTGACCAGAACAGATATGATGGATCGTTTCTCTGTTTATAGCTTCTATCTTCTTCGATTTTTCAGTCGTTGCAACAGGTTCATCCATAGTTTATCTTGTCTGCACATATGTTTAGCGTCATGAATATTAATACCACAAAATTGTGCTAGTAATTATGAACTCGAAATCACTCGAAATATGCGCACCCACCACCACCATGTGTCCAACCTTAGACTTGTTTTTTCTAGCAGAATTTGCACAGGTTCATCTTTTTTCTCTTTTTTTTCCAACATGGAAAGAAAAGGAAGAAAAATGAACCTACGCGTGCAAGAACTTTAAGTAAAAAGACCTACGTCTTCCTTCCTATGTCTATGCGTGTGTTGGCAAATTAATCATGGTATTCATGGTTTGCGCATTTACGCGTTCTATGTAGATGATGAAAAGGAATTTACAATAAAATTTTTTAAATTATACACAAAGTTATGACATATGAATATTAAAAAAAAAATATTCTCAAATAATTTTATAAATATGCTATTATTATATATAATAATTTTAATTACTTAAT